ATGAAGTTTCAAGAATTTGCATGTGTGTTGCTTCTTGAATTACAGCACATTTTCCCACAGATGAAGTGGGAAGTTGGAGGGAGGCTAGTCCTCAGTTCAAGTCCAGGAATCTATTTGTTCCTGGATTTACTAGGTAACAGCCAGGATTTCTAAAACCAGGACACAGGAACCCTAAGGCACAGGAGAGAATTAAGATTAACATAAAGAGCATTTTCTCTTTTCTGGACCTGTTTTCCTGAGCAAAATTCTAGACTAGGAGATTTGGACCAAAGATGCAGCAAATTTGCTGTAGAGACCTGTAGGCCTTATTTATTTGGTGCTTATTTGCACCAAATATTTCCCTTACATGGCAAATTTGCGGTTGAGCAAGGGAAAACTTCCTGAAATTTTTAAGCTTTCCCCTTTGTTTCAGTACTTTAAGTGACTATATTCTTTTTAGATTTGTCCTTCCTACAATTCAGAAGTAGTTTCAAAGGGCAATTCAAATACCAAAAATATGGGGAATGTATTATGATTCCATGGGTCTAAATCCTACAATATGCATTTTTAACAGATTCTTCAGAAGGTCTAATTAGACTATCTTCCAGAATCATTGATCTAAAATCCCTCAGTTTTTTGTTTCTTTCACCATGATTCCTAGTGACACTATAGCTTTCAGCAGCAGCAACAGAGAGTCTATGTGTGTTAGAAGTTGAGAATGCAGGGGCTACTTGGAATTTGAAAGGTTTGGGCAATCCCCCAAAATGAAATAATGCTCTCTGCCCCAAATTGTGATGGCATATTTATGCACATAACATGTGGAATAGTATATTGAATTAACTAAAATCTTCATGCTTCGGAGTTTTTTCTTTAACTGAATTCTGACAGTGTAATGAAACTCTTTAGCCTCTATGTTAGATTATTACCGAGGTAAAATGTATTTATTATACCAATATTTTCTGGCTCCACAAGTTATCCATTTAATTAATGCACCAATAATCCTATTTGCCTTCAATTTAAGAAAGAAAATCCTTTATTAATTCAAAAAATATTTAGTTTTTTAATCTAGAAAATTGTTTGAGTTACAATTCTTAAGATGTTTCTGTTTTATTTGAGTGACGTTATGATGTTGCATTCTCATGGCACCAATAGGAAAATGAGAGTATTTTTACAATATTTTAAATTAAGAATTTTCAAATATTTTCAATTAGATGCCCATTTCCATCTGTCCTGAGTGTTGACCTTAACAATGTGCAAGAATTCTAGGCAAGTATATGTTGGGCAATGCCCAGTGGGTCTGCTTCACCTGTCTAAGGATAAAGCAAAACCAAGCCTTCCTGATTTGGAAGATTCATTTCATAGAAATGCTTCTTTAAATGCGACTCAAACATTAAACTAGAAAAATTTTCCTAAAGAAAATATGAACTGTTCTATTATGCTAACTTTCATAGTTTTGTGATAATCATTCATATAATTTCATATTTGGTCACCACTTCTTAATTTTTTTTTCCCCAAATGAAGATGAAGATGTTCATCTTCTATGAATAACACATGCTGACCATTTCTCTCCTCTTCAAGGAGCAGGGACGGATGCCATTCAGCTGCTGCCTTGTCCATGTCCCCTGTGGAGTGGCAGCTGAGGGAAAATGAATTCTGGGTGCAGAATGTCGACAGAATTATGAGCATGGAGCATGTGTAGTCTGCTGTTCTACGGTAAATTCATATTAGCTCTACTCTCTCTGCCTGCCAAAATTCTGAGATAGTTGTTGAAAAGAAGAAGATGAAGAAGGAGGAGGAGAAGAAGGAAGAAGAGGAAGACGTGAAAGAGGCAGAGGAGGAGGCCGTGGAGGGAGAAGAAAAGAAAGAATGAGCATAGCAGTGAGGTTTGGTTTTTTTCCCTTTCCCATAGATTCGCCACAGACCACAGAAAATCAGAGAGCAATGCCTGGTCATGCCAACCTTTCTTACCCTACTTTAAATAGATTAAGGTTGGTCCATAAAAGCTAGATTACGTGGTATATAAGTGTGTACATAAGTTTATGGTAAGCATGTGCATACCTGTGCATCTGATTCCCAATGCTTTTTGTGGAAATAGATTGTTTATAAATATATAATATTAAGAGTAATTACATGTGAATATATTTTCATGTATGCTATATAATTTAAAAATTGCCAAGAAGTGTATGTGCTCCATGTAAAAATCTGTTTCCAGTGAAAGACCTGTAGGCCTTATTTATCTACAAAGAACTATTTAGAAATCTATTTGAAAAGGACTCAAATTCGTTAAGATTAACTTAAGCTAAGCAAATAAATAATCCCTTGCTCAAAGGAGAACTTATGCAACTATTTTAGTAAATCATCAATACAAGAGTCTCAAAATCAGAGCCACCTCACAAATAGATTATTTAAAAACACTACATCTTTGTTTATCATGTTTAGTCAAAACCATAATGTGATTTCATTTTTGTATAAATAAATATTCTTGAATCTTTGCTTAATTAAAAAAAATAATATACTTATGTGTCTGACCAGGAATTAGAAGTAAAGTTTTGATTATTTACCTAATGATACAGTTATTTAATTGAAGGTAGCTGTCTTAATAGGGAGCCTTACTTTAGTAAATGCATTTACTTAGCTGATAAAAATCACATTTGTGCTTTTGTTTCTAACTTTAAGTGATATTTGAATGTCTTTTTAACAGATAAATAGCTCTTTATGTGGAAATGAAAACTATAGATTGAAAATGAAAATGGTAATAGAATGTTATCTTTAATAATTCTGATTACTGATATGAATGAAATACAATATATGTGGCCTAGAAAATAAATATTATTTTAAAATGTTCCAGTGATGTTTTATGTCAATGAAATGTGCCTCCCCCCACAAAAAAACCCAAGATACTAAAAATGGGCATCAAAAAGTTTATTCATGTTCCTAGTTGCTAGATAAGTATTTTGATACTCCCATATATACATGGCATGAATTTTTATATACTGTATTTATGGACAAAAAATAAAAATATGTTGGTACGTTTCAACTGGTTTCATGTGATTATTTTCACCTTTAAAGAGCAATCTAAAATGCAAAGTATCTTAACACCTTGATAATCATTTTAAATAGATATATCAGTGAGTCAGAAGATTAATTTTCCTGTTTTCTATCACAGTAAAATAGTCCATTCAAAATATTTTCTCTTTACTTACTATAATTTTGTTTTCTACCCAAAATATTTCAGAAATAACATATAGTTTTAAGAGAGGTAATAGCCAATATTTTTAATTTTTTTCAAGGCAATATAATCATTTTTAAAATTGAAGAAAGATTTTAGGGCTCCAAAATTTTAATCCCACTCTTTTTTGTCAGTGATCCACAGAATTTTAAATTTAGGTAATTTTCATTTATTTCAAAATTTTGTGGGTCACAAGAAAAGAGAGACAGAAGTTTTTTTCTTTCTTCTTTCCTTTCCTTTTTAAAATATATTTTCAAAAAATATATATCTTTTGTCAAATAAAAGAAAATTTATAAATATTACTTGTGAATTCAAAGGAAAAAGTGATTCAAAGACAAAATACAAGAGAGGATTGCGAAGGCAAACACCACATGATCTCACTTCTAGGTGGAATCTAAAAGAAAGTGTGGATTGCAAATTTCATATCTTGTGTCTTATAATGGTGAAAACTATTTTCGCTGTCCAAATAGCTTACTCAGTAATAAAGTTTTCAAAATTTTTAGTGAAAATCTCATAGAAACCGTTCCTTAATTTTAGTTCTCAAATATAACTATTCAAAACTACCAGAGTAAAGGAAAGTTTTATTTTGCAACACCCCTAAAACATTTGTAGGAATAGTCCCTCCAGGGTAGATTCCATATTCTGTACGGGAAGCCTTAGGACTGTGTAGCAGCATAGCGCAGGGAATGGACTTTAGGAAGAACAGATTCCAGAAGGGGCAGGGATGTGGGACAAGCCCTTGGCTGCCTTCTGAAAACTCCATCCTTTTATGTTTCCATAAAGAATTTCAGGTTTATATTCCACCTCCATTTAAGTGCTCTATTTCTGTGAAGTAGGGATGTAAGTTTGACATCACTTTTACTGAATTGCTGCACAGGGTCAGATATGGAGATTCCTAAAGTCATCAATTCAGTCAGTGGAAGCTAGCAAAGAAACTTGAGAGTTCTTTTTCCTATAACTTCCCGCCCATTAAATTAACCAAATTTAATAATTCAATGTATATTCTAAGCTATGTGCTCTTGCAGAGACAACAGGAATGTATGGATAGTTTTTATGATACTTATTCCATATGATTTGAAGATACGCCCCCTAAAAAACTCCTTGAAAATTGTCATTTTCCCTGGTCTGCTGTTCTCCAAAGAGTAGGAAACATAAAATTGCTTTTCTACCTCTTAATAGAAATCCCGTGTATGGTGAGCGCTGTGAATTGTGCAAGACTGTTGAATCACAGATTTGTACCTCTGAAACAAATAATGCAATATATGTTAAGAAAAAAAGAAGAAGAAGAAGATAGCAGGAGGGGAAGAATGGGGGGAGTAAATCGGAGGGGGAGACGAACCATGAGAGACGATGGACTCTGAAAAACAAACTGAGGGTTCTAGAGGGGAGGGGGGTGGGGGATGGGTTAGCCTGGTGATGGGTATTGAAGAGGGCACGTTCTGCGTGGAACGCTGGGTGTTATGCACAAATAATGAATCATGGAACACTACATCAAAATTAATGATGTAATGTAATGTATGTGATTAACATAACAATAAAAAATTTTAAAAAAAAGAAATCCTGTGTCTCAAGAATTTAACATTCATCTTCAACCTTCAAATAACTTCAGATAACTAACTCAGATCCTCTTTTAAAAATTTCAAAATGCATCTTTAAGATATGTGAATACATTTTAGTCTTCCATAAATGAATTTTAATTCCCACTTATTGCATTTCCTTTCAGATATATTTGCTTATACAAGTCTTTTTCTCCCATTTGAAGTCTGATCTCGGTCTTTTTGAGTTTTTAATTTCACTGTATCTGCTTCTTGCCCAATGTTCTCTTAGAACCTCTGGCCACCTCCTCTGAATGTTTACCTTTCTGTTCATGCTTGGACACAGCCACAGACTCTTTCCCCTCCTTCTCTTTGGGCTTAGGTGGTGTTTTCTGTACTTCTTTGACTTTTCCAGCTGTTGGCTTCACTTTCTCTTGTTTCCCACCTTTCACTTCCTTTTTAATCTTCTCTTCCGCCTTGGCTTTCTTCTCTTCTATACAGAGTTAAAGACAAGTTGGATTATTTTTGTTTATTTAGCAATACAGCATTTCATCTTTCATTGGTTGCTAAGAACAATTTAAAAAAGAAAGAAAAGAAAAACAATGGAAAAAATAGCGCCCCTGATATACATACTTGTGACTGTTATTATCTAATTTTTATATTGTCTATGAAGTGACATGTTAGAGTACTTAAAAAAAAGTAGCTCACTTACAAGTTGGACACTTTCTTAATTTGTACATGAAAACATTACCTTTTAGGTAGCTACCAGATTAGCATATCAACAAGGAGCCATTTGAAATACACAAGGGATGTAGATACAGGCATGTTCAGTGAAAGGCAAGCCCATACCAAAGAGCCTTTTTAAAAGGATATAATCTTTTTGTTCCACAACAGAAATATCTTAAAAGTCACTCAAGAAACTAAACATAGTATTTTTAAAAAATAACTCTTGGGGATATAAAGGTGAAATCACTTGCACGGGTAGTGACTAAGAGAAATGAAACAATAAAATCCATTAAAGGATACCTCAGAAACACTCAGGCTCTAACGACTTGACTTTAAAGGAGATGGAAAGAGAGCAGAAAATGCAATATTAGCTCCTGCTTATCTTAAGTCTGAAATAATAATTCTAATCACTTCTAAAACCCTTACATATATCCTAGTGAACAGAAAGGGCTTTAAATTAGAAAATATATGTTAATCACAACATATATGCATATATATATATTCTACACACACATATTCTTAATATGATATTCTATGCATTTGGGAGGAAGGAACTAGAAATGTGAACTAATCAGTTTGTGAAACTTTTCAATTATTTTACAAAAAGCAATAATAATACAGCACACATTTGTGGGGAATTGTTTATATAGATGCTATACACTGGACATGATTTATTCTATGGGACCACACATAATCAAGAGACACCACAATAAGTCTACTGCCATGTGACTCTCTCACGTCATTTGTCAATGTAATGGATAGGCTTTATTGTCACTCATGTTGAAAAATTTTATGAAAATATTATAATCAAGTTTTTTTGCTTTAGTACACTAAGCAATAATTTGAGACTAATGCAAGATGAAATTATGAGGTCCCACGAAGAGAAGAATGAAAATGATAATGTCTGATGCTTACAAAACCAAAATCATCAGTGGTACTGCATTTAATTGAATGAACCAAACTTCCCAAAGCACTGTTTCTCAGAAACTTTGCAGGAAGATGATGCTACTATGTTAAAAGTATAGGGATATTCCTATGATCAAAGAAATTTGGAAACTAAGTTAAATCAGTTTTTTTCACTATGAAATTTCTCAAAGCTAGAGTCTATTGAAAATCTTCAAAGAGGGAGATTATTCTATGCACTGTTTTCCGAAGTTGCTCAGACATAAAACTCAATACAAAACTCACCCAATTATTCCACAAATTCCCAATGTCTCTGTGGCTTCTGTAACTATATTCAATTGGGGATTTTCTTCTACTTCTTTTAAACCATTTTTAAATTTCCTTTGCTGGCTAGTGCTCTTTCCTACAGCAGATTCATAGATTTCTGTGCCTGAAACCATCAGCTCTCTGCAAATGACTTTAAATCAACATAATTCCAGAACCTCACACCAAATATTTATTAGTTTCTGGCTACAGAGGAAGTTCCCCTGAGATGCCAGCAACACCTCAGACTCACACAATTCATCTATGTTCACCTAATGAACTCTTCCAGAGAGCTTAGCATGGCATGGGCTCAGAGCGAGTTGCTGGAGCTCTGAAGATTAGCAGGATAAAAAAGGTTAGGATAGCATTTAAAATCCTGCAAGATCTGGTTTCATCCTTTTTTTTTTTTAAAGATTTTATTTATTTATTTATTTGAGAGAGAATGAGAGATAGAGAGCACGAGAGGGAAGAGGGTCAGAGGGAGAAGCAGACTCCCTGCTGAGCAGGGAGCCCGATGTGGGACTCGATCCCAGGACTCCAGGATCATGACCTGAGCCAAAGGCAGTCGCTTAACCAACTGAGCCACCCAGACACCCAGATCTGGTTTCATCCTATCTCTCCTCTCATAGCATCTGTCCAAAAGTTTCTTCCTCCACTAGACTACTTTCTTTTTCTTGAATGTCTCATGCATTTTCTACATGTCAAACATCGCCAGGCTTCATTCTTTATGGTTTCTGTGTTTTCCGCATATATAAATTTCTTTGCGCTCAGTGCATATGCAACAAAGGGTACGGCCATTGGAATTAATCTTTCCTTCACCTGAGCTTCAGTTTGCCTCAACTTTTATTAAAGCACATCTGCTTCTCCCCGTTATATATCTTGTATTACAAATGATGGTTCACACATCGCTCTTCCTTACAGGCCAGAGCAACTTGAAGATAGGAACTATGTTATTCATTTTTGTGGCATCATCATGTCTAGCACAGTGATTTTTTCAGGGAAAACACAAAATAAATGTTTACTGAATTAGCACTTTTGATCAAGAAGAGAGAACAGTACATGTTTCACTGTACAATAAACAGATTGCATATGTAAACGTGTTTAAAATGAACTTAACAAAACTTGAAAAATTTGCCAAATTTTTCTTGCTTATACTTTTTTGTGTGTGAAATTGTAATTTTTGTTACATTAAATGACACCTACCCACTTGTAAGTAGCACTTGATTTAACCTTAACTTCACACCATGGAATTAAAATATATGAAATTCAGATCTACCTTTAATGCCATAATAATTTGTAAATGAGCAAAGATAATCTTCTTCAAGGCCACATCTAAAACAAACTCATTTTTATCAATGGTTTTAAGTATAAAAATAACAAAATTTTCCTTACCTATTTTAGACATTTGTCAGTGAGCTTCATATTTGAAACAAGTAAGTTTACCCCACATTAAAATGGGTAAGAACTCAACAATGATGTGGATATAACAGGGTAAATACCGTGAAACTAAAGCAACATTCAACTGCTATTCATTTTTATCAAATGGGTAGGTGTTCTTAAATTTTATGCCGAAATACTTCTCCTGTTGTTGTTTCTTTTTTTCCTTTTTTTTTTTTTTTTAAGAATTTAACTGACATTTGGGTTGAGGAGCTCACTAAGGAATGATAAAGCAAAATGTATTGTCACACCTGTATTCCAATCACCCAGTTCTATTTAGGAGGATATTTAATTTATGATTTTTGTCAAATAAAAAATAAAATGGTCTAGTCAAAAGAAAGACATCAGTATATTTAATTCACTTGGGAATTAGCCTTGCCCATTAGTGACTGTACTAGAATCAAAATGTCTAATGCCAAAGTAGGGAAATCACATTATCCAATAAACAGATTAACATACTATTCATTTTTGGAGTTAGGATATGACAAATTTCAACTCATTCATTAAAGAACTGCCAACTGCTTCATTTCTCTGTTCCTCAGATTTCCTCATTAAAAAAAAAATTACCACTGGAGCTATTTTTTCCTTTAAGGAAGCTGTGAGGATAAGTAAAATAATGTGAACAAAAGAATTTATACACTGCAAAAGAAGTACATTGGTTATTTCTAATATTAAATCCTCATATCCTGAATTCCTAGAGCTCGTTGGAGTTTTCCTAGAACTTAAAGTTTGATGTATAGCAAGAACTACTATATTATACTCATTTTACAGATGAGAAATCTAGGAATGAAAAACCATTTGCCAAACATGGTGCAACTAATAAGGCAGAAGTAGAAGCAGTAAAACCAAAATGACTAACCCCTTTCCCCATTACAGTAAATTGCATAATATTATTCATATTAATCTCTGAGGATGATTTCAAAATGTATTTTAAGACATATGGAGGGAGATATACATATACACAAACCAGTGAGAACAACAGAAAGTCTTCCGAAAGTGATCAATAAGTAGTAACCGCCCCTACTTCATCAAATACACACATATCTGAAGATCATCATTTTCCAGCCAGTTCGACAGGCTAGCCTGGACTTGGCTTACCCCACTTACTTCTCTTGCCATCATCTCTTCTTCTACTTCTTCCCTGTCTTTGTTATTTCTAAAGAACTATAGGAATAGGCTAGTTTTCACAATAATATGAGGTCCTACACATGTACCAGGGAGGAACGGAGAGTTGCTGCTCTTGGAAATGCTGTGCTTGAAACAGATTATAAAATGTGCTGTGTTCCACGGGAGTGCCTCTGGCAATCAAAGTCTTCAGAGGGAGATTTTACTTTAACTCTGGTCATACCTCTCAAATACAATAGGTTATCTTTGTTTCTAACTTAATTATCATACACTATAATGAATACCTTTTCAATCTTATTCTGTTTTCCCCCAAATTACCCATTACACAAAGATAATTTATGTATTTCCTAAGCTTTTAACATGATATATATATACATACATAAAATAAAAAGGAAACGTATTTGGGTGTGTGTATATACATGTATGTATATATACATGTGTATATACATACATGTATATGCATATATAGGTTGCCTATACATATACATATTTGGGTGTGTGTATATACATATATATATGTATATACATATATAGGTTGCCTATGTGTATCTCCCAATAAGAATATAAGTATGTAAATAAAATATTTGTGATTTGTGGCAGGCCAGGCTGACTCAAGATGGCCCGCCCGTGACCTCCACTTTCTGGTATTCATATGCTTATGTCATCTTCTCCCCTTGAATATGGGCTGGCCAATGCATTTGCTGCTAACCAATAATGTATGACTTCCATGATTAGTCTACATAAGATTATCTCTGTTTTACTAGATGATTCTCTCTCTTGTTAAGTTTGATGAAGCCAGCTATATATTAGTGAGACTCATGTGGCAAGGAACAGAGAATGGCTTCCAGCCAACAGTCAGAAAGCATTGAGGCCCTGATTCAACAGGTTTTGAAGAACTGAATCTTGCCAACAATCATGTAAATGAACTTGGAAATTGTCCTTCCCCAGTTGATCCTTCAGATGGGACTGTAGCTTTGTTAATACATTGATTACAGTCTTGTGAGACATCGTGAAGCCGAGGACCAAGCTAAGCCATGCCCAGATTTTTGACCCACAAAAGCTGACATAATAAATGTGTGTTGACCTAAGTTTCTAAATTTGTAGTAATTTTTTCATAGCAATAAATAACTAGTATGGTATTAAATAGATATTTTTTGAAGGAATAATTGATGCTTGAAGACCTTTATTTATCTTTGGAAAGAATACTAGACTTTTACTCAGTTCACTTGGGGTTTTGTCTTAGTTTAATTGCATACTAGTTATATAATCTGGGAAAATTGTTTTTTCTCCCTAAAGGTCAGTTTCTTCATCTGTTTACTTAGGCAATTAGGTAAGATGATCTCTAACATCCCTACCAGCTGTAAGATTTCATATATATATATGAATTTATTTTCTTTCAAATCTGTCAAAAAAAAGAGAACCAAATAGAATATAATAAGATATATTTAATTATAAATTTCATCTTAAGACTAAATTCATGCTACCTTCCAGGGAACAATCTTAGTTTATAATCCATCTATCTTAATAAAATGATATTTGGTTATCTCATGAAAAATTTAGTAAAAATATACCTGCCTCAAATATTTAATTATTTTGCATTGTGTAGGTAAACACATTGAATTTTGAAAGTAGATTCCAATGTTTATTTGAACTAGTCCCTTAAAAACACTCAGTTGAGATTTCTAAAATGTACTGGTCACATAAAACCTATATTTTAAAATAGGAAGAGGAAATTTAAATTCAGGACATAAGATTGAACTATCAGAATCCATATTTTTTTTAACATCAAACAATTGGCAAATAAATTGAGAATACGAAATTTTTAATTTAGTATTTTTGGAATCCTCCAAAATACATAACATTACATTGATATTCTAATTGTTTTTGGAGGGGTATATTATTAAGATACTTTTGGTTTTCAATGGCTTAAAATATCAATCAAGATATATGCATTATCCTTTCTTCTTGAAGAAAATAAATCCTGAATTTGAATCTTCTAAAATTAACTCGTAGTGTACTACTGGTCAAAAGCTGTAAACCAACTATGTTGTGCTACTTTCCTATCTCTACAGTAGCAAATTACTACAAACTTAGCTGCTTAACACAACATCCATTTAATATCTCCCGGTTTCCAACGTTCAAAAGTCTTGGCACAATGTGGCTCAACTAAGTTTTCTGCTTAAGGTTCACAGGTTCACAGGGCTAAAATCAAATTGCCAACAGGGCTGCATTTTTTACTGGAAGCTCTGGGGAAGAGTCAATTTATTCAACCTGCTGACAAAATTCTTTTCACATTGTCCACGTGCTCCCTTCTATTTTCAAGCCAGCAATGGGGGGCAAATCCTTCTCACACTTCAAATCTTTCTTTCTCTTGTGTCACGTATCTATGCTTTAAAGATTCATGAGATTACATTGAGCCTACCTGAATAATCCAGGATAATCTCTGTATTTTAGATCA